TGGGTGGCTCAGTCGGTTAAGCATCCGACTTCGGCTCAGGTCCTGATCTCGCGGTCCGTGAGTTCGAGCCCAACGTGGGGCTCTGTGCTGACAGCTCGGAGCCTGGAGCCTGCTTCCGATTCTGTGTCTCCCTCTCTCTCTGCCCCTCCCCCACTCATGCTCTGTCTCTGCTCTGTCTCTCAAAAATGAATAAACATTAAAAAAAAATTTTTTTTTAATCATTTAGGCTCTACCATTTAGTGTTACTAACTCGAATTGCGAGTTACTGAGGATTATAGAGTCGAGCAAAAATGGAGTGTCAGAAGGATCGTGACGCCCCTAATGTTGAAATCTGATGTATCTCAGATAAAAAGAGAAATAGTGCTTAAATATTTTTTTTAAAACCCGCACCTAACATGATTTTCTGCCTTGTTTCTTTTAATAGTGCGCTAGTAAGTAAACATTGCTTGCCTAAAGGGATGGCATTTGCCATAACACTTTCAACTGCTCAAGAATAATTTTTATCCTGGGTTCCCCTTCCTTAAAAATATTTTTTTTCAATGGAAGCATGAATTCTATTCTCTTTCTGTTCCTTCTCCATGCAGGTTAGATAGTCCCTGCGAGGAGAGAAATGAAGGTTCCCTATGATCCTTCTAAATTTTAATGTTTTTATGTGTGTTTTAGTTTTTACCTTAAAAACAGATGAAAAACAGTAAGAGAGGAACCGCTGAGAAAAAACATGCATGACGTCCTCCACAGTTGGACACATCAGCCTCTACTGCTTTTAGTTCACCTCTGATTAAAGGGGAAAAGAGATGCCTCTGGGTTTACTTTTTTTTTTTTTAATTTCCTTACAGATTTTAAGAGATGTTAATGAAACCCAAGCCTACAAATATATAATTACAAAAGGATTACTTAAACCGAGAAGTAGAGTCCGGGATAATGCAGTTAGCTGTGCTAATGCCATAGTGACCCTTTCCCTCAACAACCCTTAATTTGAACATGGACACACTCTTGAGATCTTTAGGAGTCCTTTATGTGGCTCTGTGTCCTTATCTGGGTGAAGCCTTCAGCGTCTGTATAAGAGTTATTATTGGTTTGCTGTGTCTGTTCAATTTCTGTGTCCTTTTAAAGGGACAACTTCTGTGTCCCTTTTAAGTAGTTCTGGGGCCTGGGATTCTAGGAAATAGATCTGTGAAGGCATCTATAGAAATGAGCCCAAAACACACAGATAATGGATTTGAGTTCTGGTCTCAGTGCTGCTGATGGATGGACACGGCTTTATCCATTGCCTTTTACTTTCTCACCTTCAGGACCAGTCATCAGAACACTTTTGTGAGGGAACTAGTTGGGGTACGGGAATAGGGAGAGACTAACTGGCAGGTCAGGAACCGAACGTGATTCTTGATGTAATTAGCAGCCGACTGTGGTCAGTCATTTAGGACTAAACAGCGTTGAGCACCGGGGAGCTGGTGACCATTCCTCTCTGTGGTCAGACTCCCACTGAATAATTACACCAGAGTTGGTCCCACCACAACCAGTGAAGTCAAGCAACAAGCTAAAGAATAAACAAAAATCAGGTTTATCGTTTGGCCTGAACAACAACAGCAGAAGGATGATATAGAAGGTTCAATCAGTTCAACAGCGGATGTCTATCTGGCCCATAAAATGCACCAGCCTTTTTGAAGGCACTGTGTAGGTTAGTAAGATGGGTCTTGCCTTTGATATGCTGAAAATCTGGCAGGTGAGACTAACAATTTAAAAAAAAGATATGACACTCCTACTCCTTTGGCTGGCATGTCAAGGAAGTTGATGAGTGGAGAGTAAAAGCAAGGAGCCTTGGAATTTCTGCACTAAAAGTACAATATCTTCTCTGAAGATCAGCTAAGTGAGGGCGCCTGGGTGGCTCAGACGGTTAAGCGTCCAACTTAGGCTCAGGTCATGATCTCACGGTTCATGAGTTCGAGCCCTGCGTCAGGCTCTGTGCAGACAGCTCAGAGCCTGGAGCCTGCTTTGGATTCTGTGTCTCCTTCTCTCTCTGCTCTTCCCCTGCTCACACTCTGTCTGTCTGTCTCTCTCTCTCTCAAAAATAAATAAACATTAAAAAAAAATTTTTTAAGAACAAGCTAAATGCTCTTCTGTTGCAAGTATCTCACTGTGGTTCTGCCTTGACACCTTCAATAAATACACCAAGGCTAAATTCATCAGTTCCATGATTCCAAATTTTTTTTAAGAAATTAATGTTTTGCCTGGGATCTTTGTCACTGATGTTTTACATCCATGTTCGTATTTACTGTGTCTGGTGATGGATCATATTCCTCATCCTATATTCCTTTAAGAGGAAAATCTCTCAGAGACAGAGGGAGACACAGCATCCAAAGCAGGCTCCAGGCTCTGAGCTGTCAGCACAGAGCCTGACGCAGGGCTCGAACTCATGAACCGTGAGATCATGACCTGAGCCAAAGTCGGACGCTTAACCGACTGAGCCACCCAGTCACCCCAAGCATGTAAACTTTTATGTTGAATATGATGTAGCT